CAGCCCATAAGAATTTTAGGAGGGCATTGAACCTCTAAAACCCCGAAACCTTTCTATGCGTTAGCATCGAATTAGTATTGTAACACCATTGGTTTATTACATCATTTTATTTTTTTTTACTTGGTAGCATTTTTTCGAAAAGCCATTTTTCATCGAGATGCGGTAAAATTTTTGAGCAGGTACGAAAATAAAAAATGTAAAAATGTGGTATTTTTTAAAATGAATGTTCAAAACGGCCTCAATTTTTCTGAACACACATTCGACATTGTTTCAAAAAGGTAAACCGAATTTTTTGGAAGATCATAGACTTCTCACGAAACTGATTTGCACTTTCAATGATCCGATACCTCTGTTGTTGTTCTCCGATTATTTCAACAGAATACACGCCCTCCTTCATAAAACTCCAGGAGCAAAAGTCTATAGAGTTAAGATCTGGACTTCTGACTGGCCAAGAAATAGGTGCATCAGGGCCTCCTGCAATCTAACATCCACGGTACAAACCGAAAAGATATTCCCTAACTTCATTATCGAAATGCGCTGGAGCTCCATCTTATAAGTACTACATACCTAAATTTACCTCTTCCAAGTATTCTGGTAAATCTGTTTGTGAGTTGTAATTTGAACCATTTAGATTATATGGAAGAAATTGGCTCTTTAAAACTATCATTCACAATGCTTGTACGACTTTGAAAGTAGTTTGGTGATGAGTCTATTTTTTTCGTGGGGTGCATTATGGTGATTCCCAATGTCATTTCTATTGAAGGTAGCTTCATGGGTAATTGAAATATGAATAATGAAATTGATATTTCGATTGTTTTCCGTTAAGAACCAGTCGCAAATTCTTGAACGGTTGATAAGCGATAGGGATGAAGCTGCTGTTCCTTCAATTTTCACCATAACATCGTGAGACCGACATCTAATTGAGCAGCTATTACCCTTGTACCGCTTCCAGGATTTCCTTCGACAAATTCTAAAGTCTCCTCATCGTTTGTATCCATTTTTGGACGATCACTATGACCAACAACTTGCGGTCGCAAAGTAGGTACCCGTTTCCCATAAACGACGATTAATGGTAATAAATAATCGTCTGTTTGGTGTATTCCGATTAGGATATTTTTCCGCCCAACGCCTTGCAGCTGCTGCACTATTCCCTTGGCATTCACCTGTGATTACTAGAATTACAGATGATTATCTGAAACCTTGTTTTTGCCCGACCAAACTTACCCAGAGTTAAATGCATATATCTGCCACTTCTGCAATGCGCAATAATCAAAAGCTCCAAATGACAGTCAGTATGTAATTATTGAAGCAACTGATGAATTTTTAAAGAATATTGAAAAAGAGCCCGCATCTCGATAAAAACTGGCTTTTCGGAAAAGCGCTAAGAAGTAAAAAAAAATCAAAAATGATGTAATAAACCAATGATGTCACAATATTAATTTAATTCTAACGCATAAGGGTGTTTTGAGGTTTTAGGGGTTCAGTACCTCCTAAAATTTTTATGGGCTCAACATATTTCGTGGTTTCATATGAAAAAGAAAGCCATTGATCCATTTTCATTACGAAATGTTAAACAGTTCATGAAAAATTGGAAAAATCGATTTTCATTTCATACTTTCCAAGGGTTTCAACTTTTTTGTGTACTGTTGTCTGTACAAGGCTAATAGGGCTTGTCTGCTATCAGTGCAGATTGTTAGTGTTTTTGTGGCAATTGAGATACCAGCCAGTTCTGTTTGAACCACGCTGGTATTTTTTTTCATTCCCCACTTAATCCTTAGGCTTAGTGATCCGGAGTACACTCCACACCCTGAGCCTTCTTTGGTTTTTGAGCCGTCTGTATATATGTGTATTGCATTTGTAGTATCTGACTTCGTGTTGTTTCATTTGTATTTTGTAGGGTTTATTAAACACAAATATGGGTTCAATTGCATCACTGGTTGCCTGCAGCAGAGGTTGCGCAGTGAGCGCTTCTCGCCATAGGCTCAGCCTCAATTGACCCATTCCTACTTCGAGGTTTACACCAGCCGTGCGCAATCGTAACTTGGCCATTAACGCAACCTCCTTAACGTACAGGTCCAGAGGGGACAGACTAGTTATTTATTCCATTGTCGCGGTTGGTGTTGTTCTCATGGCTCCTGTGATGTTTAAACAGTCAATCGTTGTATTTGATATGAACTTTCTGGGGGGATCAATCCTCCCTTGACCCCCCCCTGGCTACGGCCTTGATTCTGCAAGTCATAACCCTGTTTCCACTACCAGCCCCACCTTTGCTCTCACTACCGTTTCTCCCCTCTGCTCGTCCAGGGACATTCCAGACCAGAACCTGTGGACCCACAGATGATGCATGGGAGTAGGCAGATTGAGAACTTTGCGGAGACCAGTGAATGGACCTGGGAAGTAGGCAGATTGAGATCCCAGCGTCAAGTCACAAATCCCTTCAAGTGTGTCACTACCTGAGGAGTAGACAGATTGAGACCTCGATGCAGTCATATTTTCTTGAAAATGGCTTCAGAACATAATGGAGTTTTTGGAGAACAAACTGAATAAGAGAAAATGTTGTTTCTAGAGAGCTTTTTCTTCCAGTTTGTCTTAAAGTAACTTGTATGCATGATTAACATACCTTCGTAAAGAGTTTATGTTGCAATTAGTTGCTTTCTTCCTCCCTTTTAAAGTTTCCCACAATTTTTGTATAAAGATGGACAAGTACAAAGCCAAAACCTTACCCTTTTTTTATCTTTAAAATCAAAATTTCAGTTTCTTAAATGTTAAAAATCTCTCTAAAGGTCCATGAGGGCTCTCATCTTCGCTCGATTCTGAATCTGCAAAGTAAATGTAGTAGGTATTGACTGAGTGACCAGAAAAGAGAAAGTAAAAATCTTTACCTGACAGTTCATCATCTGTCATTTGTCTTGGACCGTAACTTTCTCCTGAACCAACAGAACTTTCTTCATTTCTATGGAATCTTCCAAATGAGTTGTTTGTTATGCTTTTTCTGAAAATATTTATCATTCTCAAACTGATATAGAAAGTAGATATAAGGTTGTAATATTAGACATGTCAGATAACTATGATAGATACTAAAAATACAGTCTGTGTCAAAACGTGATCAAACCACTTTGGTTAGGAGTCTGCAGGTTTCTAATTTGCCACCAACTATTCTCGACATACGTTCCCATAATAGTAAAATAGACAAATTACTGAATCCAACAGTTTGGAAACGTTACAATCAATTGTGTGTGGTTGAATTATTAGTGAAAATAAAAGGTGTAATGTTATGAAACAGTGAGATTTCAGCGTCATCTCATGTATACTTTTGTTACTTCCAAATATTCCTATTTCAAAAATAATATGAGGAACTTTCTTAGCATTCAAGTGATGAAGGAATTGAAGAAAAAACTTGCAGCTAATACAAGTCTGCATAGAACAAAATTGCTTCCAGTTTCAACAATTGTTTCCCCCGACAGTAGAAGGGTACAGCAATAAGAAACCCACTGTACCAGTGTATATAAAGTGTATATAATAGGTTCATCAGTAATTTTGAACTGAAAGAGAGGCATTATATTATTTTTCATGGGCCTGGATCTGACATAGGTACAGAGATAGCAATTATAAGAATTTCTCAGATTCACAATTTGATATCTATAAAGAGAATAATAGTTTTTTAGATTTATTCCTGATAGCTCCATCATTGTCCTCAACAAAAATTGGTGGGACTTTACTTTCATTCTCTAGGCTCAACGCTTATCCTCGAGTAAAAAGTATTGAGAAAAATGTTTTTAGGAACTTAGGTGAAAGCAAAGAGTGTCCTTCTAGCATAGCCGATAAGTTAACTAGGAAATTTCATTGTTGTTCCACATTGATGGGTTGGATAAAATTTTCATTGTTATCAAAATGGAACTTCTGTTTATTCTTTTATTAGTTAGTTCTGTTTATTAGTTGTGAACAATAAAGAAGTTTATTATTATTTTTTAATATACCCAATTGGAGTACTTTGTAAGTACTTGTTACTCTAGTACTTCAAAAAGTAGTACTTAGTACTATATACTTCACTTAATTTAACAAATACGATTTTGTATATTTCAGTATTTTATAAAAATGAAGAATACTTGATACTGTGACGTAGTTCTTTCGAAATATCTGAAGCACTGTATTGAATCGTTATTTATACTTGTAGTTCCAGATCATTATCAAATTATGATATGATATGGATTATCTTGTTAATGTGCCTTAACAATGAACAACTATCTTTTGAAATGTCAACCATAATTTGCCGTTTTTCTGCTACTCCCTGAACTGGGATCATAATGTAATGAGTTATTCTTTAAAAGGAACTGGGTGGAGCTTTCTATTACGAAAACACCATCTATGAGTTGACAAAAAGTCAAATTCAGTAATCATACAACGTTCATACAAAACGCATTCAGCAAATAACAGTCGGNAAAAGTTAAAACATATTGGATGGATACATATTAAAAACAGTACATATAATGCATACTACATAGATGAAAATGAATCAGCCACACTTTTGAATAAAATCGTCTAAAGTATAAAATGCTCCTTGGATTAAGAACTTTTTCAGTGTATGTTTAAAAGTTTTTATTTTTGTTTCCGATTTCATGCTTTCAGGCAATAAGTTGAATAAATATGCTCCTGCATACTGATTTCACTGAAGTAGTCACCTAGGAGCCTAGATCACATGACTAGTTTAGACATTTTTGAGAAAGATGGTAAAATACTTATTGATCTATGGTTTTCTGAGAGAGCTGGGTTACCTTTTTTAATAATGGCTTAACCAGAGCAATTTTCAAGTGGTATGAAAAATTACCTATAGAGGAGTTATTTATGAAGACACTGATAATGCCGTTTGAAAAAAAATTGAAGCGTTTGATATATCATCATAGTCCAAAGTGGATTTTTTCCTTTAAATTTCTACAACAAATAAAATCTCCCTCTCCCATTTTTCTTTATATCATCTCCTTGAAATCAAAATTGAATTTCAGATTTTGGTAGCGAGATGCGAACATGATGCAGTGGTCCAGTCTCCCAACGGGGAACTTCAATTCCTCTCTATCAAAGCTTTGAATGAATGGGACTCCAAACTGGCGAATGGTGTTGAGTGGAGACAAAAGTTGGATACGCAACGTGGTGCTGTTTTGGCTAATGAACTTAGAAACAATGCTTGCAAACTGGCCAAGTGGACAGTCCAGGCCATTCTGGCTGGTAGTGACCAGATCAAATTCGGTTATGTATCTCGTGTACATGTCAGGGACAACAGCAAGCATGTCATATTAGGGACGCAGCAGTATAAGCCACATGAGTTTGCTACCCAGATCAATCTCAATATGGACAATGCATGGGGTATTCTAAGGTAATCTACTTCTCAATATATTATATCTGATTCCACTCCATAAAGGTGAAAATATTGGTGTTTCGTCAAACTTCCGATCCACCACTTCGATAACTACATTATTGAAAATCATAGAAAAACTAGTTAACAGAAGATGAGAAGAATTTATAACAAATATACATAAGCAAATATTCAATGAACTGTTCTTCAAAACTTTTGAAAATTATTGTAGGTCATGATTTGGATATTGATTATTCTAAACAAAATTCTATCCGCTCTTAGAGCGCAGGATTTTCCTGCTGTGGTCGTGTTTTGTCCTTAATGAAAATAAACTAAGTGAAGCCGCAATATTATCAACAAGTAGTTATAAAAACGAGACCAAACACTACAAATCTTCCTTTAGGAAAAAATCTGCACCATTTTCAGTAAAACAGTAAAACTCATAATTATTATTTCGATGTGAAACGTTGAAGAAATTGATCCCAACCTATTCAAAAATAGAATTTAAATAGGGAAGGCTGCATCCATTTTCCGAATTCCATCATAAACATGAAATCCAAAACAAGCACTGCTTCCAAACAACAGAATTGAAACATCGTTATCGACGAGCTTTTTACCAAGCAAGTTGGCATCTTCAAGAGATGAAGTAGACTGAAAGTGAAACTGCCTGAGAGCCGTGATTTTGGGTTTATTCCATGCCAGACGTTCTACTATCTTTCAAAAACATTAAACCTGAGTAGGAATTCCAACCTGTAGAAAGTCAATAATGCCACATTGAAAATACCGCATATAAACTTTAGCAACATATATATGAAGTAACATCTCACCCTCGTCCACATAATAATCTCAGCGCGTCCAAATTTCCATAAAACGCAGCATATAAAGTTGGCGTCATACCTTGTTCATCCCTCGTGTTGCAATCCCTTTTGGTTGTTTCCTTGAGTACTTCTAGAATACCATCTTTGGCAGCTCTGCGAAAAAAAAACGTTTGTATTAGGCACTGATGGAAGCTTCAAGTGATAGCAGTTCGTCAAATCAGACAGTCATATTTATAGTCAACATAATCTTTTGACGATGGCGAAAACATCTTTCATAAAATTCCCAATAAGAGGTACTGGTGAAAAGCTTCAAAACTCGAAAGGTATTGGTGAGTTGAATTTCTGTGACACAATGAAAATGATTTGAGTTAATGACGTTGAAAATCCACCATTTTTATGAATTGGTAATTTTTTTTTGTTCACATCGTATATGTTTATGAGTAGTTAATAGATTTTGACGTAATGAAAATGTGAGTTGTGTCCTCTAAAATAAACACATTCATTCAAGAGTTTACTTGAGACATTTCCTCTACCTATTTCAACATGGCCGCAGAGCGCGGTTAGTTAGCCTGAGGTTCTGGAGTATGAAAGTTTTCAAATTATAAAAAACTGTTGAAATTTTCTTGCTAAAATGTTTTGACATTGGCAAGTGTTTTGAAGCAATTATTTTATTCAGCTGAATCCAAGCTCTACTAAAAGCAGAAACATAATTAGGATTACTTGAGGGTAAGTCAAATTGGTCATCATAGAAATACAAGTGCAGTTTATTATCAGGAAGTATTCAAGGCGGTACTGCGTTAGTTGAAAAGGAATTAACTTTACCAGAAAACGCAACCCAAACTCAGAAAACAAAGCATGAGAAGGAGTTGAAATATTTTGATTAAACAGACAATAATGCTTTACTGGCCTCACAGTAAATATGACTTAAGAAACTCTTGCAAAAGATTATGAGGTACACTACTGCTCATGAAGTGTGGTTATGTTGAGGACAACATATACAGGCTGATTTACGGTGCATGGCACATTAGACGTTTCTGGTGAACCAGACAACGGATCACTTTGAAAATTTAATGGAGGGCATACATTCTCTAGCCAACTAAAATATTTTCGACAATGCGGTGTTGCCGCTTCTATTAGAAAGCAGTAGCAACTTTGATTTTTCAAATGGAACACTCTGTATATAATATTATTTTTGGAATCTCCAACAATTGCCCGACAACTTTTCTT